CTGATCCTCCAAAACTGCCTGTCTGGCCTTTTCCTGCTCTGCGAGACCGGTCTTTGCAATGGTATGCGATTTACTCAGCACGACAGGCCTTATAAACAGACTTATGATAAGTCCTAATCCGGCCATCGCAGTATAGAAGATCCACATGCGACTCAATGCCAACGTATACGCTTTCAACACGACCGTCTTCTGAGCGCTGCCCAGGGACTTGATCAGCGTGCTAGCAGATCCTGAGAACGAGTTCTCGATGGACGTGGCCTTCGCCTCGCCGATCGCGGCAGCGACTTTGGGCATTTGCTCGTGGAAGACGTTCTGGTAGATGACTGTTCCCAAGACGATGGAGATGGCGGCAGACACCTGGCGCAGGAAACCGAAGGTAGCTGTTCCGGCGGCCATATCGGAGGGGTGGATGTTGGCTTGTAGAGCGACAAGCGGGGACTGGAAGAGCGGGCCGGTACCGATACCGCCGATGATCTGGTAGATGATGATGCGGGGCCAGGAGGCGTAGTACTTCAGGTCGATGAGGAGGCCGTAGCCAAGGGTCATGAGGGCGAAGCCGGAAATGATGAGTTCGCGGTATCGGCCGGTCTTTTTGATGACGAAGCCGGTGGCGGCGGAGAAGATGGAAAGACTGAGAACGGTGGGGAGGACGTAGACGCCGGACATGATGGGGCTGGCGAGGAGGACGGTTTGGAAGTATAGAGGTAGGTAGTAGGAGCCGGAGATGAAGACCATGCTGTGGCAGAAACAGAGGAGGAGCATCAGGACGTTGTGGGTGTTGTTGAATAGGCGGATGGGGATAACGGGGTAGCGAGCGAATTTCCATTCGTTGAGAACGGCGAGGCCCCAGGTGAAGACGCCGAAGACGATGAGGCAAATTACTGTTGGTGAGTCCCAGGGGTAGTTGACGCCGCCGAATTCGAGACCGAAGAGGAACATTAGTGTGCCGCCGAGCATGAGCATGTTACCGGTCCAGTCAATGGAGCGGATGCCAGCCCAGAAGGGCACCTTGCCAGTTTCAATCTTGAGGAAGAAGACGAGGATGACGAAGGAGACGCCGCCGATAGGGACTGAGGGTTGTTAGTTGAGTGTTAGGGCAGGAGGAAGAAGGGAGAGAGGGAGGCTTACGGTTGATGTAGAAGCACCAGCGCCAGGTTACATCTGTAGTGAAGGCACCGCCGACGATAGGGCCCAGTGCTCCGGCGATGGCCCATGTGGAGCCGAAGAGACCATAGTACATGGGGCGTTCTCTGGGGGTGTGTTAGCGCTGGGTCAGTGGAGGGCTAGTGGAGAGGTGTGACAGACCTGACACTGAAGAGATCGGAGACGCAGATATTGGCAAGCACGATGATACCACCGCCGCCTGCACCTTGAATGGCTCTGCCGGAGATGATCATGGGGAGGTTAATGGCCAGCGCGCAAATCAGACTGCCGACGAGGAAAAGGAAGTTGGCGATAAGAATGATGCGCTTGCGACCCCAGACATCACTGATCTTGCCCCATAAGGGAACACAGGCGGCGTTGGCCAACATGTATGATGACGCGATCCATGAGTAACCGCTCTCGGAAGCGTGAAAATGCGTTGCGATAGTAGGTAGGGCTGTAGACACGATAGTCTGTAGAGACAACAAGTGTGAGTAGATGTAAATGCGACGGCGCGATAAAGGGTCGTTACCATATCCAAAGCTGCTAGGAACAAGACAAGCTATATTAAAAGACCATGTGGTTAGCGATGGAGCCATCAGAAGCATGGAAAGGCAAGGGACATACACAAAGCGCAGTCATGACAACGACAATCTTCTTCTTCCCTAGCTTCTGCGCCTGCGACGGCACTCTATCCAACGGCGCACCAGCGCCAGCTTTCTCGTCGGACACATCTCCAGTCTCTTCAGGAGATGGTTGTTCTGTTGATGTCTGTGAGGGCGACCCGACAGGGTCGGGCTTCTCCGAACCATCTCTGGACGAAGAGCCAACATCAGATGGCGACATCTTCTCCGCATCTACCAGGACGTCCTTGTCCTGGTCGGCATGCTGCTGCTGCTGCGCGATACGATCATCCTCACGAGGAGGATCCTGAGTGACCGCCATGCTTGCAGAACTCCAGGGTGAGCCTGGAGGGAGAAACAGAAGTGAAGGAAAAAAGAATGACTCAACAGAAGCCGAAAGCTTGCTGTCCAAGAAAAGAATCGGGGGTGAGGAGAAGGAAATCAGACCCCTCAGAGTGGCGGATTAAACCGACGGTTGCAGCCAGTCTTAAAGTCTAGACTTTGGGAAAGGAAATCAGGGCGCAAGAGAGACCAGCTCAACTAAACAAATAAATTAAACTAGATAGCTAAGCTAGACCAGGCAGGAATCTGGCCCATTTAATAAATGATCCTTTTTCCAAGGAGAGAAAATTTTCCCCTGTCAATGCTCGCACTCGCCCTTAAGGCTCGGAGATAAGTTGAAACAGAAACCAACGACTAAAGCCATGCCCAAAACGGGCAAAAATGCTATCGATCTCGTGGGCGCCAAACGAACAAGGCTATAAGCATTCCCGAAAAAGCCACCCCACGGGCCACTTCAATCCATGGGCACGGGATGATAGTCAAGCAATCCCATGGAATGACATACAACAACTGAAAATTTGGGATAAAAATCCCGACTGCAGGAGGGAGAAATTTGGGGGGAAGGTAAGTTACACCGTTGGCACGCCCGGACATTTTTTGGGGTTTGTCTGCATGTCTGCATGCCTGAAAAACAAACAAATAAGACCTGTCACAATCCTCCTTAGTCTTTTTTCTTCTCCCCGACGATGATCTGCAATGATGCTCTCTATTAATCATTCAATCATGATGGAGCATCGTGGAATTGAGTCTACACCGCATCTTGACTTGCGTTTTACTAAAGCACCATGCAGCCAAGGGCATTGCAATTGCGCCCGATAGGGGGAAGTCTTGCTTCGCTTGAGAGTAGGAAAAACGAAAAGAAAAAAAAAGCCCATGTCATACTTGTTCGCTGTAGATTTCCCGGGTTTTGCTTGCGACAAAAGATGTTATGAGAAAATAATAAGGGTATAATGTACAAGTATAATTAGGGAGGAAACCCTGGAAGAATCCACCATATCGTCCATATCAAAACTATCCATCCTGAAGCTGGAGGATTTCTGCACCGACATTAGCAACCAACCATCCAACCTCATTCCACATAACCAGGGTGGGAACCGACTCACCAGTCAAGAATTCCTCGAAGCTCACCGTAATATAGCCGTCGCGATCATCATCATACCGCTTAAAGACGTCCGTCATGCGCCGCAGACTAATGCACGCCTGCACGAACAAATCGAAGCTCATGCCCTGTTTCGCCGGCCCATACGGAGGACCATTATTCATCTGCCGGCCTTTGTTCTCGAACGTCCGGAACAGCACCATCACAAATGGCTGGCTCAGCCGGTACCCGAAGGCCACCAGTGCATTCTCGAACTCGTACAGGCTAATGCGCCCGCTGCGGTCTTGATCGAACCGATCGAACAGCTCCCGCCACGCTGCAAGGTAGCGCCACAGTGCCACAAACTCGTCGAATGAGATCGTCCCGCTGTTGTTCCGATCAAACATGCGGATCATCATCTTAACGGTCTTGGGGTGAAACGATGTGAAGTCTCCGTTCACTAGAGCAGAGCCCAGCTCCATCTCTGTGAGTGTACCCGAATGAGATGTGTTCGCAGCGCGGAAAAGGGGGAATAGCTGTTGCGGGTCGTCGTCGGGAACTGCCAGCGCGCCATGGTTCGGCGAGTTGGGCGGACGCGACGCGGGCGGCGGACGATTGCGCACTGGCTGGCTAGGAGGCGGCCCGAAGCCGTAGTTCTGCGGAGGAGGAGAAGGGTGTAGTGGGTGAGGGCGTTGTTGTTGACTCGCTGGAGGAACGTTTGCCGGCGACCGTCCACCATGCGGGGCCTCCATGGGAGGACGCTGACTCGGTGGTGCGCCGTAGCGCTGGGGATGGGGATTGCCGGCACTAGAAACGGGGACTCGAGGTGGGACGCCGCTGGAGGGAGGGTGAGGAGACGGGCGAGAATGCTTCTGGTGGTGCGAGTTGCTGGATTGCATGGCACCGAGCATTTGCGCTACCTAATTGTCATAGACCGAGTTAGGAGGCGCGGGGCATTCAACCAGGCAGACAAAGAACCACTCTCGAGAAGAAACTACCGCACCTGTTCCGGCTCTGCATGCCTGTATCGATTTATGACTTGTTAGCGACCCCATTCATCACTTTTGATTAACCTCCAGAGGATTGTGACTCACGCTGGCAGCGCATCGGGGTTGTAGGACTGGTTGTATGCCATGGCCGCGGATCTGACGTAACTGACGCCGGGCGCAATCCAGCGAGGGGCAGAATGAAAAGGTAAACGCCCAGTTACAAAGGGCGGGGTATGAAAGGGGAGAAAAAGAAGGGAGAGAAGGAGAAGAAAGAAAAAGATGGGTTGGGATCAAAAGGAGGTCAGGGAGAGCGATGGAGAGATTAAGTTCTGTTCCATGGGCTGCTAGTCATTAACGAACAGATTGTTTTTGCGGCCTTGGGAGCGGAGCCGTGGGGCGGCGGTTCAGCAGGAGTCGCCAAGCGGAGATGCTCAGGCACCGCTTCAACTAATAAACTTGTCCTGCCACCCCTGCAAGGAGGCTGTGTATATACCTCTACAATGAGGAGGCAGCAACAATTGCTTCAGATAGAAATAGTCCGTCGCCAGTGTAACCTTACCCTCTTGACAGCCGCAATGGACGGTCCGCAACCAAACACTGGCATGCCCGACCGTTCTCAGCCCTATACTGGAGGCTTCTTTATTTGTTCCGGAAATGCTTGGCCCACTGGTTCCTCTTCCATTCGCGGTGGAGCCTGGCCAGCGTCTGTTCGTCGGGGAAGGTCTCTTTCCTATCAAATTATGGTCTGGTATGGTCTGACTATGAATATCACCCATCAGTCACGCTAGCCAGTCATTCATTCAATTGGCCCCGTGCAGGAAGGCGTAGACGTATCGCCCCGGCTAGTGAAGATTAAGCGCTTTTACCACCCCCTGATTGACTCCTTCAGCCCCTCGGATTGCTCCTCCAGCTCGTTCATGATCTCCGTCCACGCTCTCGCCTGGAACTGCTTTCCTTCCGCTCCCGTTGTCAACGCCACGGATTCACTGCCCTAACATTAGCAACCCTGCCACAAAGACAACACGTAGAAATATCACAGAAGAGAAACCACTTACTCTAGATATCCATCACTCCGCCAGCACTTCCCATGCGACTCCACCCCCTGATAAGTGGCACTGACCAACGACCGGCTCCCTTGCTCCGCCGTGCGCGCAAATAGCTTATAAGCCAACCACGTCGCCCATCGCTCGTAGAATCTACTGTATTGCCGTCCAAGAGACGAGACACAAAACCCAGGGCTTACAGTGTTGATAATGACCGGCACAGTGCCATTCTCATTCCGAACCAGACCAGCTACCGTCTTGAGAACATACTCCAGGAGAAGCTTCGATATACCATACTGCTTGGGGCCTTTGAAGGTCTGCGGGCTATTCAGATGCTTTAATAATGGCTGCACCGTCCGAAGACTCTTGGCCTTCACGCGCACGAACTGTTGGCTGGACACGACCGTAAGATGAGCCGGGTCGGACAAGGAGGAGCTACTCCTTAGTTTCGGAAGGAGCAACAGCGCCAACAGGGAAGTGGATAACGTATTGACCTGCAATGTTTCCTCCCATCCCTCGGGCGATACGCCGAAATCTCGGTTCCATATTCCGGCGTTTAGTAACGCAATGTCCAATTGGTGCAACTCCTCGTTCACCCGGTTTGCGAAACTCTTGACGCTCTGGAAGCTGTTCATTTCCAGCTGCCATACTTGAATCACTCCTTGTCTGTTTGTAAGCTTCTCAAGCTCCGTCTTGGTCGCTTGGCCTCGCTGGAGGTTCCGGCTCCCTATAATGAGCGACTCCACCCCGAGATTGAGGAGCTTGACGGCGGCCTCGAACCCCAGTCCGGATGTGGCTCCGGTCAGGATGACCGTTTTTCCTGCGAATGAAACCCCACTGGGGTCGACCGGAGGGGTATACTGGGTGCGTAGTAGACGAAGGAGGCTAGCCATGATGCAGTTAATCGGCACGCGACAGAACCCTATACAATCCAGGGAGGATAGAAGGACGGCCAGTCATTGATGTAGCCCAAAGGAGCTGACAATCGACACAGTCAGGCCGATCAATTAATCAAGGCTGAACAGGGATGCGTCTTCGAAGGATCGGATCCAACCCAACCCTGCATAAAGTTGAAGATAGTTGAATTCAATTGATTAGCGATCCGCCATGGACGATAGCTGCCAGGGCGGTTTAGCTTGAGCTAAGGCCGGGTCCGGCGTCTGGGCCGCCCCGCAGCAATACTCGACGCGGCTTTACGAGTACGAGCAGTTTCTGCAGTCCGCCAAGGTCCTCAGCAGAAAGTTTGCCGTTGAATCCGGTAGTGACAGGCGGTTCCTAATTTTTCCCGTTCGCAGATATATACCCGTATGAACCATATGAGGCTTGGAATAAAGCAACTAGAATTCTGGGGATAGTGCTTAGTTTTTAGTATTAGAAGAAATGGAGAGCGAATGAGAAAGCAGGAAAGTGGCAACATCCTTTGGGCGCGGATCAGGTCAGGGGACCTCGCAAACAATGCAAACACGCAGAGGCCTTTCTTGCGACTATCTGGCTCAGTTGTTCGCCATTTGCAATTCTAGACTGACAAATCTGGGGTATTTGCTGCCTTCAAAAGCAGTCGTATTGTTTCTACTGCTTTCTTTGGAGTGCGCTTTCTTAGACAACTAAAAGTCAAAAGACCTTCCTCCCTATAAAATACCAACTTCTTCCCCCCTACCCATCAATATATATCCAACCAGCAAACTCGAATGAGGGGTAATATATAGTACCCCGCAGACCAGCCGAATTATCCACACCGACAAAGATCATCAGGCAAAAGACCATACCAAAACTCACCCCCAAATATAAGTTACGCTATGGTGTCTAGCGAGGAAGCCGAGCACCATGTCCTTTCATCCGAAAAGGGCTGGCGCGAAAACTTCCCCGACGGCGACCTCTGGGTGTTCGGCTACGGGTAAGCCTATCAGGTCCTTGAACGCGATTGGCGCGGTGATTATCCCATGACCGGGTGACGGTGGTGGCTGACCCTTTCTTCTTTTCTTGCTGCCAAAAGGAGCTTGATTTGGAAGCCTCCGCCGCATTTTGGTATGTTGATGTTGTTCTGGAGAGATAAGAGGGTCGTAGGGACCTTGGTTGATTCAGAGTAAATTGGTTGTTAATTATCGTTGGGGTAGATCAGCGTGTTCCGGGTTATATCAATGGCTATGTCCGACGGTTTTGGCAGGTATGTTGTTGACTATGTCATTGTCTGTTCCATGATGTTTGCTTGTTTTGTTTATGGATGATGTCGACTGGTGATGATGATGCTAACTGAGTCATTTTAATCATAGGCTAGGTATGTCTGAATATGCTTTCAAGCTGCGAAAATCTAATTATTTCAGCACAATAGGCTAACACGCAGGACAGTAACGACCACCGCGGCACGAAAGAGAACCCCGGACGGGTATTAACAGTGATTGACCGGGAGTTCTGGGAAACTCTTGATGATCCGGTATGATTCCTTTGCTCCCTTCTGCGCCTGCACATATCCTGTTCCTCTGGTCAATTATCTCACAAGCCACCCCTCTAAACAGCTAGCACACCATGAAACCTCCGCAACAGCTACAGTCTGGGGGGTAGCGTACCACATCCCTGCCAGCCACGCCAATGAAGTCCGACAATATCTTGACATCCGGGAAATCAACGGCTACTCTGACCACTACACGCCGTTCCACCCGGTCCTGACACCCCAGGGAGCTAGATCTACTGACACCTCGGACTGTCCCGCCACCCCCATCACCTGCATGGTTTACATCGGCCAGCCCAGCAACCCGCAATTTCTACGTGACCCGGCACAGCGTGAACAACAGGCGGTGGCCGAGGTGATCAGTCGCAGCGAGGGTAAGAGTGGGAAGAACGCGGAATACCTATTCATGTTGGAGAAGGCGCTCGAGGGGCTTGGGTTCGGGAATGCTGAGATGCATGTCACCGACCTAGTGCAACGGGTTAAAGCGCTTCAGAACGAGGAAGAGGTGCGTAGGGAAGAGGAGCAGGCTGAACGGGACTTGGAAGAGTCGCTGCATCCATCGGCGCGGGAAGCACATGAACGGTTCCCGCCTGCTGAGTAGACATGTCTGAATAAGAATATAGAGAGATAGAGATGATGAGATTGGGATAGATCATGACTTGGACCTAGATTGATTCCAAATTCAGGATAGAGCACTGATTGCTTTCGCTGGATCACTTTCCCACCGGCCTCAAACCAGGTGTTAACATAAGCCGGATTACATACATGTCAACCATGACCCGAGTAAACGACGTCAGAAACAATTGATTTAAAGCCACGCGATGCGAAACCATATCAAACCACGAGAGAGATGTCATTATCGCAATGATCTGGCGTGAGAGGGGAAAACAATAACGGAAAGAAACAAGAGATAGGGGTCGTTTCGTCGTAAGTCACCATCATAAAAGCTGGGTAGCATGCGCCCGGGGTTTTATCCCATACTTTATGTCCGAAGGGACTAACAGCAGCTGACATGCGAGAAAGAGGGAAGAAAATCGTGAAAAGAAATGAAGAATAGGACAAGAGACCGGTCCGTAGTAAGCCATCGGCAATGCTATAATAGCTTGCGCAGCTTACTCTGCAGCCTCAGGCTCCTGCTGCTGGGAACGCCAGCCTGCTTTTTATTAGCTACAATATGAAATTTGGAGGGGAAAAAGAGGGCCTTGATGCCAGTGCCCACTAGGGAGATAGAAGAGAAAAACTCACCGCCGCCGTTGTAGCCACGGTTGTAGCCACCGCGTCCGTGGAAACCACCACCACCACCCATGCGCGGTCTCGACTCCGAGGCTTTGTCGACACGGATGACACGGCCGTCGAATCTGAAATTTGTCAGTGTTTGGAAATGAAACACTTAGATGTCTTGCTTACTCCTGGTTGTTCATGGCGTTCATGGCAGCGTCGGCCTCAGCATCAGAGGCGAAGCGGACGAATCCGAATCCACGGCTGCGGTGGGTGTCATGGTCCTTGACGACAATCTGAGTTTGGTCAGTACGAGCATAATGATGGAGAACTTTCATTGCTCCGCGAAACATGGATGACCAACGGCTTCTTCGATTGTTCCATATTGCGAGAATCCCTCACGGAGGGTATCGTCAGTGGTGTGCCAGGCAAGGCCGCTGATTTTGGTCAGTATGCTATTGGGGCCGGGTGGCCAGAAAGGAAAAAGAATTGACAGACCCGATAAAGAGCTTAGACATTTTTTATTGAGGTTTCCTACAACGGAGCTGGAAACTATTCTGGTAGTAAGCACCTGCGGAATGAGGATGTCACAGCGAGAATGAGGGGTTGGATGCGATGGTTTCTTTGACAAAGTAGTCACGTCGAACTTTGAGAAAATTTCACAACAGCCGACCAAAGAAGAGACCTAAGAATGTAGACGGAGGAAGAAAAAGCAAAAGAAAGTGGGAGAGAGAGAGGATGAAGGGAATGGTTTTAAGAGAGACGACAGCAGACCCTGGAGGGTCCTCTCCACGACGGAGATTCAGTGAGACCGTTGCAAGTGACTCCACCAAGCATGAAACTAAAACATACTGCCAAGGGAAAGACGAAGAGAAAGTAGACTGACCTACCTGATTTGCGAGTGGTGCTTGGAGTTTGAGTAAGGGATGGAGGGGTAGTTGTAAACTAAGGAAGCAGTTCTGCAGAACCGGGACCAGGAATGGGGGGTAGTTTTAGGGGGGATTTAGTTTTGTAGGAACCGGTGAGAATGATGAAGAAGAGGAAAACGCGGCTGGCAAAGCGGGGGGGAAAAACGGAAAAAAAAAAAGAGGGAAGAAGGGAAGAGGGAAGAGCCTGGCGTGCTCGAGGCTCTAAGGGAAGGGAAGAGAGAGCATCAGGGCTGTTTGTCTTAATAATGCAAACCAGCGATGGGATTGGAGACGCTAAAGACTCATGCCCGGCGCACCTCCGTTCCCCTCCTCTCTTGGAAAATTATTGGAAAATTGGGGGAAAAAATGTTGAGATGTCTACCGGTGGCTGCAGCCGTTGCACTGGGATCACATTTCGCCGTAGAGTCTGATGGGTGGATATTTACTTCAAGTTGGTTTGGCGACCTTCCATCAAGGCGCTTGGAACTACTTACTATCCACCCTACTTGGATGGCGGACGATGGAGTCTGGTTTTGAGGATGCAAGAACCGGAAACCAGGCCGGCACTGAAAGGGAGCTAAGGACCAGAGTCGGCTAGGTCTCTATGCATGGCGCCGAAGCTCAAGGACACAACGGGTGTCAATTTGCAGCTCCCGTTGACCGACGAAGAACTACTTATGTCCCCGGATCCTCGTCGTAGGGCTGTTTAAGATGCCGGACATGGCCTATCTTTCGCTGCACGGACGCTGCTGTTCAACCAACCCAACAGCTTGTATTGCTGGCATTTGAAGTTGTTACTTACACATGCCGGGAGCATAGACTGGCACTCGTCTGGTACCTGCCAGCTATCTATCTAGCTTATCTGACAGGCCCGGGTCTTCACTACTAAGCAGTTCCCGGGTAGAAGTATTCACTGGACGAAGCATTCTAGCTACTGGTGGGGCCAGACCTGCACCGTGCTTCTTTCTATTCACCACACTCTCTCATACCCACCTCCCTCAATTGTTCTCCACTGGCTTCTTTATTGACTATCAGAATCTGTCTTGGAACTTGATGCGCTGCATGCTTTTCAGCTGCACCCCAGGAGTTTGAATTTGTTCAGCAAGTGCGAGCAGCGCATGGACTATGTCCAAGCCCCAAATATGAAGGTAGTGTTACCTTCCACCTTTTCTTCCTCTACCGTCAATCTTGTTTTTGCATCCTCACTCACGGTGCTTCATCCTTCACCCTGAGAGCTGCCTCGATATTCTAGGGCCTCACCAGGATGGGTGACATCACTAATGAATACCGTGTGATCATCGATCAAGATGGCCGCGCAGTGGTCAAGAACCCTATAGGTGCTTACGATAATGTACCACATTCAGGATGGCAGCCATCTGTTGATAAACGGACATCCGAGATCAAGAAATGTGCCAGGAATGCCCGCGCGCACAAGACGAGCATAACAGAAGCAGCTCCTGACGACGGCGTGGCGGTGACAGGTGTTGTAT